GAGAATTTAGAATAACCAAACACGGAAGACGATGTAGAAGCAATAGTGACAGTTTGTGGAGTTATTTTAAGAGATAAAAGAAACAAAAAGAAAAGGTGGTGGATAAAAGACGACGGGAGCAGCTGCTCTATCTGCTGCACTATGATTTGGAGGCGACTGTTTTTTCATAGTTAACATTTTAACTGAATAAACATAATAAACATATATAATAATGACCTTTACATATAATAATAAACATTTCCACATATCTCCGATATGTCAGCTGTTTGGGATTCCCCTCTGTTCTGACGTCACCGCGCTTTCTGATTGGCTACCTGTCACATTCAACAGGTTGTATTCTCGTTCCCAGTCAGGAAAAACCCCACAGGCTGCGATAAAAAGGCCAACACAACACAAACTGGGCATATTCAGGCTTTAACAGGAACTAGGGTTGCCACCTTTCAGAAATCAAAATAAGGGATGCCCACTAATGTGCGTCGTCCTAGTCCCATTAGCGGGGGAGGTGGGACTGCGGCAGCAGCGTGTCGGTTGGTCTGTGTTACCCAGAAAGCAGTTGGGCACAATATCGCAACACCAACACAGTGAGTGAAACAATGACTGGGGCAGCCTACTGTGTAAAGTACTCAGGGACCACTATTTTATTATTACACATCCACATTTGTAGAATACGGGACAAATAGCGACCCGTATCGGTTCAACACGGGACGCTATATTTAACAGCCAAATACGGGACGGTTCCGTATTTTAAGGGACGGGTGGCAACCCTAGCGGGATTGAACCTAGTGGTTCAGTTTTATTCCAGATAATGAGCTTTTCCATTATTTGCTCTGTTCCTCATTACTGCAGCAGTTGCGTCAATTCTCTGCTGATTTTCGCAGTGACACTCAGCAATGGAGAACTTCGACATTCTGGTTCTGATTAACTAAAATAAACACATATTTAATTTTGTCCTATAGGAATTCATTTCTGGTCCAAACATAATGATAAGCCTCATAAGGATAGCTTATTATTTCACTATGCAATTACATTCTGGCACTTTATTTTTTTAAATGTCCAACCGTTTGGATTTAGCTTATGCAATAAAAAGGTGTAAACCAATAGCCAAGCATAAACTTTATTATTTTTCAAACCAAATGAAAAATAAAATTCACATCACAAGTTAATATTATGTAGTTCTGATGTTTCACATTGTCAGCGTGAAACAGTAGCTCTGTCAGAAAGCTGACCACAGCTTCACGATTTTTCTCTTCTTTATTGCTGACTGTATTTCAGAGAAACGAGCTGATAGCAGCGCTGCAAATTCATAGTCATTCTGCCTCAAAAATTTGTGCATGCATTACTGGCGCTGATTAAACTTGTAATTAAACTCCTATAAACTCACATTTTCAGCAACAAGACAGTTCAAAGTATACTGAGCAGCACGGCATATCTGTGGTCCACGGCTAAATGTTGTTTGCAGTTTTCAGTGATGTAAAACTGCAAATCCAATCAATGAATGCAGTCAACTGTCAAATGGTTTTGGTGTCGTACTCTGCTCAGTGCTGCAAATACTGCCTTTGAAGTAGGTACGATAATCTGAGAACAGCCGAGCTGAGCTGCTCCAGATTTGCTAATGGAAAACGGATCTGGCCAAGGCGGATTGAACCGAAACAGTTAGAGGCAAGCTAGTGGCAAAGCACCTTTTGTCTCAGTTCCAGCCATTGTACATGAGAAAACTTTGATATGCAGATATATTCTTGTGATCATTCCCTGACACATGATTGACAAAGTCTCTCTTTAATTATGTTTTTTGTCTTTCCCATTTTGAAGATTAGATTAGAAAATGTACTGAATTTAAAGATTGAATTATTGTAAATGTTAGTGTGAGATTATGCTTCTAAAATAAAACATTAACTTATTTTAAAGCTTTTTACATACTCTAACTTGGGGTGCCAGTAAGTGTGGATGTTTCTATATGAGGGATAATAACATGATAACAACTTCTGATTCATAATATGTTGTCTTCATTTGCAGGATTTGCATGTGTGACTTTTATAGCTATATTTGAATAGTTTCTAACAAGGAATAAAATATGGGGCTTGTCAACCTGAGATGAGCAGGACTGGATTAACAGGCAACGGTCAGTTCAAAGTTCTTCCTTGTTCTCTCTTCCTCTGGTTTACAAGCGTCATAATGGGTGGAAACAAAGACACTCCCTTTAGTAACCGGATATTTGCACCTTAGCTGAAACAGGTTTCTGTTCTACAGAAGAGAAACTCACACAGTCGATGTTACTGAGACCAGAAATGGAGCAAAGAAGAGATCATCAAGATAACTGCTACGCTGGACCTCAAGATGCAGCCTGTGATTCATGCACTGGAAGGAAAAGGAAAGCTGTCAAATCCTGTCTGGTCTGTTTGGTTTCTTATTGTGAGGATCACCTCCAACCTCACTATGATTCTCCCAATTTTAAAAAGCACAAGCTGGTGGATCCGTCCAAGACTCTCCAGGAGAACATCTGCTCTCGTCATGATGAGGTGATGAAGATCTTCTGTCGTACTGATCAGCAGTGTATCTGTTATCTCTGCACTATGGATGAACATAAAGGCCATGAAACAGTCCCAGCTGCAGCAGAAAGAGCTGAGAAGCAGAAGAAGCTCCAGGAGAGTCGACAACAAATCCATCAGAGAATCCAGGACCAAGAGAAAGATGTGAAGCTGCTTCAACAGGAGGTGGAGGCCATCAATCACTCTGCTGATAAAACAGTGGAGGACAGTGAGAAGATCTTCACTAAGCTGATCCGTCTCCTCCAGGAAAGAAGCTCTGATGTGAAGCAGCAGATCAGATCCCAGCAGGAAACTGAAGTGAGTCGAGTCAAAGATGTTCAGGAGAAGCTGGAGCAGGAGATCACTGAGCTGAAGAGGAAAGACGCTGAGCAGGAACAGCTCTCACACACAGAGCATCACCCCCAGTTTCTCCTCAACTACCCCTCACTGCCAGCACTCAGGGAGTCGACACACTCATCCAGCATCAACATCCGTCCTCTGAGATACTTTACAGATGTGACAGCAGCTGTGTCAGAGCTCAGAGACAAACTACAGGACGTCCTGAGAGACTCATGGACAAACATCAAACTGAAAGTCACTAAGGTAGATGTTTTACTGTCAGAACCAGAGAAAAGAGCTGGATTCTTCAAATACTCAAGAGACATCACTCTGGATCCAAACACGGCAAACACATTTCTGTTTTTGTCTCAGGGGAACAGAAAAGTAAAGAAAGTCAAACAACAGTGTTTTTCTGATCATCCAGGCAGGTTCACCGATTGTTCTCAGGTTCTGAGTAGAGAGAGTCTGACTGGACGTTGTTACTGGGAGGTGGAGTGGACTGGGAGAGGAGTTGTTGTAGCAGTTTCATACAAGAACATCAGCAGACAAGGAGGACTTGGATTCAATGACAAATCTTGGGCATTATATTGCGATACAGACAGTTACATATTTTATCATAACAACATTAAAACTCCAATACCAGGTCCAGTTTCCTCCAGAATAGGAGTGTACCTGGATCACAGAGCAGGTATTCTGTCTTTCTACAGCGTCTCTGGAGCCATGACTCTCCTCCATAGAGTCCAAACAACATTCACTCAGCCGCTACATGCTGGGGTTGGACCTGTCGAGTATGGAGCCTCTGCTGAATTTGTTAAACCTAAATAGTCAGCAGTGATCTGAGGTCCAGTTGATTAAAATGTGTATCTTAGTTTCTTTCTTTAGATTTCATCATTGTTGGAATTTTGTCACTGTTCAGAAAACAGCTGTCTTTATGGAGCTACTTTGTCATCTTGTTTGTTTTGTTGATGTTGGAGTTTGTTTGGGTGCTGCATTTTCCTATTTCTTTTCAGTCATGGGGGTTATCATTGCTAAGGATGAATTTAATTGACCTAAAATAACTGCATTCACACTTTTAGCTTTGTCAGGTCAGTTTTTGTCTATTCATTTCTAGTTTGAGCTAGAAATTCCCTCCTGTTTATTATGTAAAGAAGAGCTGACGTTCTGAATGGAGTTTTTCAGTAATTATATTCATTAAAATAATCCATTATGAGTTTTTTTTCCATATGAGACTTTATAAAACAGTCATAAATGGTGTGTTTATTTTCTACTTCAATGATTAAACCAATGTGATGTAAAAAATCTGAATAAAATAAATTTGACATTAAGCAGGTTCTAATTATTTAATCTTGTCTCCAGCAAACAATTATATAAAAACACAAATGAGCAAAGATAGTACTTTTTAAGTCAATTTTATATTTACTATTTATTTATTGGCAAACATGAAGCTATATATATATATATATATATATATATATATATATATATATAGAGAGAGAGAGAGAGAGAGAGAGAGAGAGAGAGAGAGAGCGAGAAACCTGTTTGTAACTCAGACACCGGTAAACGCAATCAATAGCGCACGTTTCTCATTCAAACCAAAATACAAACCAACATTACCCACCAAACCCAAACAATTCACCTTAGAAAATGAACTACACTATATTGTTAAAAGTATTTGCTCACCTATCCAAATCATCAGAATCAGATGTTCCGATACACCTGGGGCCATGGAATTATTGTATTATAGTATGTAGTATAGTAAATTTCCTCGCTCCTAACTATTTCACAGTCAACTGTCAGCTGTATTTTAAGACAATGGAAATGCTTTGGAACGACAGGAACTCAGCCACAAAGTGGTTGACCACGTAAACTGATGGAGCGGGGTCAGCGGATGCTGAAGTGCATCGTGCGAAGAGGTCGGCAACTTTCAGCAGAGTCGATCACTACAGTCCTCCAAACTTCATGTGGCCTTCAGATTAGCTCAGAGACAAAAAGCTTCATGGAATGGGTTTCCATGGTGACCAGCTACATCCAAGCCATATGTCACCAAGTGCAAAGCCTTAGCTACAGTGATGAAAAGCACTCTGCCACTGGACTCTAGAGCAGTGGAGGCACATTCTCTGGAGTGACAAATCACGCTTCTCCATCTGACAATCTAATGGATCAGTCTGGGTTTGGCGGTTGCCAGGGGAACGGTACTTCTCTGACTGAATTGTGCCAAGTGTAATGTTTGGTGGAGGGGAGATTATGGTGTGGGGTTGTTTTTAAGGAGTTGGGCCCTCCACTGAAAGGATCTCTGAATCCTTAAGCATACCAAGATGTAACTTTCAAGTAGTCAGGGACTTTTATTTTTGCGGGCCCACTTTCTGTTTCCCCAAACTCTATTTCTTTAAACCCCTGCCTCCACTTCACAGTTTGACTTCCTCATCCATCTCCGCTGTGGTTATGGCATGCTGTGTCGGTGTCTTCATACCAACACACAAACTGATTCATCCATCCATTTTCTTCCGCTCATCTGGGGTCGGGTCTCGGGGGCAGCAGCTTCAGAAGGGAAGCCCAGACTTCCCTCTCCCCAGCCACTTCTTCCAGCTCCTCCGGGGGAACCCCAAGGCGTTCCCAGGCCAGCCGAGAGACATAGTCCCTCCAGCGTGTCCTGGGTCTTCCCCGAGGCCTCCTCCTGGTGGGACGTGCCCGGAACACCTCACCAGGGAGGCGTCCAGGAGGCATCCTGACCAGATGCCCGAGCCACCTCAACTGGCTCCTCTCGACGTGGAGGAGCAGCAGCTCTACTCTGAGTCCCTCCTGGATGACCGAACTTCTCTCTAAGGGAGAGACCAGCCACCTGCGGAGGAAACCCATTTCGGCCGCTTGTATCCAGGACCTCGTTCTTTCAGTCATGACCCACAGCTCATGACCATAGATGAAGGTGGGAACGTAGATCGACTGGTAAATCGAGAACTTCGCTTTTTGACACAGCTCTCTCTT